GGGAGGGATTTGATTAGCCATTGACTAGACATTTCTCCATTCATATTTCCATAAATCCCCCACTCAACTCCTACCTATCCCAAACAATAGAATTCCAAGTCTGTCTTTAATAAATAAATTTTCCAAGTATGAACGTATGTCCAACTAGCAAATTAATCCAATAGCCTCCGCCGTCAAAAGAAATGTGCTATTTCTTTCCACCTTTTAGTAGGAGATAATCTTCTTATCCGACTTGGCCAAAGGTTATAAAACTTATCCTCTTTTAGTGTTGTTGGGATTGGTCAATTACATTTCGCAAAGCACTGATTTCGGAAGAAACAGTAAAAAGAGTACAAGAATCCACTGAATCCATAAAGAGTGCAACGCCTGCAATTTGCATTGAAATTGACCAAAAAATATTACTACTAGTAGTAAAAAGAGTAACAGGATAACATTTGCAACTAGTGGTTGCTAGTTATTGTGAGAAACCAAACAGGAGGAGTAAAAAATATACTGTGACTTTTGGACTTACCTATTAGCCGCAATTTTTTTTCCTTCTAAAATATGGGAATGATCATTTAATTCACAAGCTACCGATTTTGTTCCCGATTTGATTGAGACCTCTTTTGTTCTGTTACATTTTGTTGATTGGGATGTTCAAAATGGGGCATGCTTACTGCTGAAATAAATAACTAGTGGTAGAGTGGTCATTTGGGAGATTTCATATTGTATTGGTCAAAATCTGATCGTCACGATCGAACTGACCAACGCCTCGCCTAAATGATCGGGTAGTGAAAGATAACATAGCCAACTCTACATTCCTTTCCCGGCATCCGTCGAGTTGAAAAGAGCATTGCCTAAGAGGACGACCATGACACCTTGGGGGCGAGAAAGCATCGGACCAAGTAAAGGGCAAGGGTGCCTTAACTATATATAGTAAGGGAAAACATTAGATTGGAGGGAGTCCTCCTCCCTTTCTCTCTCCCAAGCTTTCTTCTTGTAATCTTGATATGAAAGAAGCAATCCACATAAGAACATGTAAAGTTGTCCCCCCATCGATTGATGTGAGTCACAATGTTGAATTTCAATAAGATTGTTTGCATCTTTTTCGTCTTATATACAGTTTATACTATTAGTTCTTTGATCTGGAATTTATTATGTCTGACTAAGATTTATTCCTTCGTCATCTTTGATTGATTTGTTCAAAAAAGTTTTGATATCTTTTGAGTCAAACACATATACGAAGAAAATCTTTTTTCTTTTTGGGTTTAAAAGAGAGAACAAACGTTTAATTCACCTCAACATCACGTTTCTGAATTTTTTTACATAAGGTAACATGTGAAATTGATGTACATTCTACCAACGCATTATTAGTTGGGAAAATACCAACATACTATTCAAAATCTCAAAGGTCTAGTTTCACTATCACTATATAATTTATTTATTAGAAAATCAAGGCATGATTATATTGAATGCACGGTTCTAAAAGTAATATACCGTGTTAAACACCGATATTAGCTTGAAATATCTTTTGCACGATCACGTGCTCTTTTTTATTTTAATGGTATAACAAAAAATTCAATACGCACATGTCTACCTCACTACTTGTGTGAACATTAATTTCCCACAGTAAAGCCATCAAATACGAAACTTGAAAAGAAAAAGAAAAAAATATATTCCCACACTCACACTCTATATATAGAAGTCAGCTACGTGAAACAGAGCTCATTGTGAGTTGCTCTTTTTGCCTGCTCTCTTCTTCCTTTCTCTAACAGAACTCCAAAACTGTCAAATTTCAGCTAAAAGAACATCCATTAAACACGCCATGGATTGGATTCGAGGTGAATCAGTAGGTCATGGAAGCTTCGGCAAAGTCAATTTAGCAATACCCAGATGCCAAAGCTCTCTGTTTTGTCCATCAATGGTGGTTAAGTCTTCTTCCGCTTCCTGTTCAGCTACTCTGTTGAACGAGAAGCTAATCTTGGATGAGCTTAAAGGTTGTTCACAAATAATCAATTGCCTTGGGGATAGCTATACCTACGAAAATGGCGAAAAGTTATACAATGTCTTGTTGGAGTATGCTTCAGGGGGTGATTTATCAGATAAGCTCAAGAAGTCCAGTGATCATATATTGCCGGAATTTGAAGTAAAAAAATACACCAAGGCCTTACTGAAAGGGCTATACTACATCCACAAGAGTGGTTATGTTCACTGTGATATTAAGCTTCAGAACATTCTTTTAGGTGAAGATGGTCAAGTCAAAATTGCTGATTTTGGATTGGCAAAGAGAACGAAATCCAGAAAAGATGATAAATTGCGATGTGAGTTGAGGGGTACTCCATTATACATGTCGCCGGAAATGGTAACTGGTGGCGAACAGGACACTCCCGCCGATATCTGGGCACTTGGATGTGTTCTGGTGGAAATGGCAACCGGTAATCCAGCGTGGAGATGCACTGATACGACCAGATTATTGATGACAATTGGAGTTAGTGATCAATTGCCCGAAATTCCTGAGAAATTGTGTGAAGAAGGAAAAGATTTTCTAGAGAAGTGCTTTGTGAAGGACCCGAAAAAGAGATGGACGGCTGAGATGCTTCTAAACCATCCCTTTGTAGCTGGTCAAACTTATGATGATGACACTGTTATATTGAAGGACCAAACATGCGAGAGTGGGACTCCTTCAACTTCTCCTAAGTGTCCATTTGATTTTCCAGATTGGGTCTCTGATGACTCTGGTAAATCCTCAGCAACATGTTCAATTACATCTCTGCCCTCGCCGGCAATTCAAGAATTGCGGAATTTAAACGGCGGTTCATGGTCCGCAGCGCCGGCTGAGAGGTTGAGAGTATTAGTAGGTGAACACAGACCTGAATCTGAATGGTCTACAGCTGATGGCTGGGTCAGTGTTAGGTGATGTCAATCATTTATTTAAGGTGATAGATGAACCTGAGATAGATTCAGATTTCTGAAGATTTTATGCTAGCTGCTTCGATTCTTTTATTTCTTTCACTTCAGTGATTAGGCTACCTAGGCCAGTTATTTCGATTCTTTTTGTACAGAGAAGACAGATTCATCGTACATACAAATGATGAAATTCCTTTAAATTTTATATGATTACAATTGTTTGGGACTCACCAAGTGTACAGATAATTAAAGTATTTTGTTTCTTTCTTATTCCTCCGCCCAGAACAATGTCATTACCTTTTTAATCCAAATATTAATATGTAACTTTTTTTCAGTTCGTTGTACTTTGAACTAATTATTCGTTTTGGAAGAGGGGAGTAGTATTACTGAAGTAACTAAACGGAGAAAGCCGAAGGAAGAAGGTTTGCGCTTTGTAATTTGTAGGTTAAAATTAGCTAAGCTAGAAGAATAAAATAGAGGATGGCACAGTAAAAAAAAAGGAAAAAAGAAGAAGATAGAACTAAGATTTGGTTGGCGTTAATAGTGAATATTTCTGGGGGAGATAGTGCAGGTTCAAGCTCCTTTAACTAAGGGATAAAACAATCCCCTAATCCTAGTACTGCGTCGCAAATGCTGTCTACGACAGAGAGGGTTTGGCTAATACAATTGGTTTATTTGTTGCACGTGTTTGTTATTGTTGAGATAGTTTTTTGACTATGTACGAGGTCTCCACAGTCGGCTATATATTCTGGGAAGTTAGCGACTGTGCTCAATTTTGAAGTTTCCATAGATTTGTTATTACTACTTGCTAGAGAAAGGGAACCAGGGGTTTCCATGAAACTTCCTATCAGTTTACTTTGTGGTTTAGATTTTTAATATGTGCCATCCCTACCCCTCCAACAAGTGTTCATGTGATATGTGAGGGAGGTATGCATCTTAGTCAATATTGAATCAAATACAAAGAATCAGGATATATGCATGAATCCTAACTCTTCCAATAATATTTACCTCTTCTCACTTTTAATCAGACTATTGAATTGACCGACTCTTTCAGTTATCTATGATAATGCTATGATTAAGATAAGGTACAGTTCATATGAGTCACCTTAAAATATCGATTTCCTAATATTTTATATTTTAAAACAAAATTTCACTTAAAATATTCATGAAATGTTTTTAAACAATTATTGTTGAAAAATTAATTCATTTTATAAATTGTATAAAAAATGAATAAATAATAACTTTCAAATAAGGCAAGTACAGTCGAGCCCTTTTTGTTTAATTAGTGTATTTGTTTTAAGAAATTAATTAAATAAGTATAAATATTGAATTTATAACTCATTTATTAATACTTGAAGGCTTGGTTCTCAAATTCAGAACTCGTTGAGTTGAAATATTGGCTCTCACTCTACGTAGCACTTCGAGCGATCTAAAGGTTTGCCTACTTCTGGGGTTTGGTGGCCATTGGGTTTCTTCGCACATGTTTTATTTGGTATGGATTTTGACTGTGCGCGCGGTCCCATCGTTGGCTACTTGGAAAGTTCACGGCCGTGTGCAATTTTGGAGCTTCTATGGCTCTGTTGCTAGGAGAAAAGGAACCAAAATTCAAGAGTTTCGACGCATCTTCCATTCAGTTTACTTGTGACATTTGGTCTTTAATTTAATCTTTCCCCTCTACCCAACCCCAGGTGTGCCTATACAATTTTAACACGTGATATACGGGGGGAAGCATGGAATTTTGTCAATATTGAATCAAACACATGGATATATGCATGAATCTGTTAAGTATATATTGACTAGTATTTACCAACAAATTACCAGCCTTTACAAGACTTGGAATTGTTGTCCAGAACTGGATTTTTTGGGTACTCAATAGAATACTTCGATTATGAAAAGCTACACATGTTCAATTAGTTGCACTGTAGCCCTCAATAAGCATGTAAATAATTGATGACTGATGAAGTCTAAACATTACTTTCAATTTGAAGTACTATTTTGCCTGGTTATAGCAGCCGATGTCATCACATGTTTTTATTATGACAATTTATTAATCTGATATTTATCTGTCTAATATACGGTTATTGTATGATTGAAATTAGACAAGATTTTTGACTACTATGGCTAGCTACTTTGCTAGTGTTTTAATTATTCTCCTTAATGCTCGGTTGAAAGACTGGTTTGTATGTATCTTGACGTTGCATTTGGAATTAAATTTTAAATCTTCAACTTCTACACGCAAATCTTAATTTCTGAAAGAAAAGACTGAAATTGTGAAAATTTCTCCTTTTATTTTATTCACGGTACTCTTCTCCTAATGTACAAGTATATGATGTAAAAATAAATGAATGTAAAATAAATATTCCTATACACTTGTACTATTTTCTGATTGTATAACTAACTAACAAATTTTATTTTTTACAATGTGTGTGCATGTGCTATTCACGTGTGGAAGCTTCTTGTGCTCTTTCATCATCTGAATGAGAGTTGGTAAATGAATGGCTAAAATTAGCTTCCTCTTCTTAAACCAACGAGTCAGATCTGATCTTAAGTAATTCCCATCAATGCTCATGATCTTGACACGTAACGTTCCAGAGATTAAATTGAGTATCTCACAAGGATTCCTTCAAACATAAGGTCGAACTCATTGGAAACTCGGAAACCCTACATTCCTTCTTCTTTCTCGTGTGCTTATATTCTTCTTCATCCTTTGAATTAACATAGGGTTCTGATCTTCAAAATCCCCCAAGGTGGAGGGGAGAGAATGGACCCCCAACTTGCATAAAATACGGCAATGAGATCTCCCAAATAAGGGTTTGGCAAACAAATCAGCAAGCTTACAGTCCGATAGAATAAAAGAAAGAGAGATCAACCTAGAGAGAAATTATTGACGAACAAAATGGCAATCCAATTCTACATGTTTGGTGTGTTCATGGAAGACTAGATTGTGAGCTATGTGAATCGCCGCCTGACTATCGGAATGAATGGGCACCGACAAGGTTGGCTAAACAGTGAGATCTCTCAAAAGGCGAATGAGGCAAGTGATTTCTGCCGTTACTCGACGCATTGAGCAGTATTCAACTTCGGCAGAAGCTAAAGAAATGGAAGCATGTTTCTTTGATTTCCAAGAAATAGGCGCACCATCAAGAATAATGAAGAACCTACTCATTGATCATCTAGAATCTCGGCAGGCCGCCCAATCAGCATCACAAAAGCCAACAAATCGAGAGAAGGGTATGAAGATAAAAGAATCCCTTGTGATGGGTCTATGCGTAGATATCTCAACACACGCTGAGCAATAGAAAAATGAGAAAGACAAGGTCTTTGCATATATTGGCTCAGAGACAAAACAGTAAAAGAGAGGTCAGGTCTGGTGTTGTCAAATAGTTGAGTTTACCAACTTGATGTCGATAAAGGCTTGGGTCTTCCATTGGTGGCCCCAAATCTGTTTGTAGCTTATTAAGGATCAAGAGGTGAAGATATCCGTCCTCCTGAGTAATCAAACTCCTGTAGCACTTCTAAGGTAAATTTCCTTTGGTTGATAATGAACCCTTATTTTTCTCTGAGGATTTCCATGTTCAGGAAGTAATGAATATCTCCTAAGTGTTTCACTTTTAAATTCTGAATGATGAAAGATAGTAATTTATTCAATCTATGTTGCATCATCCCGTGTGAGTAGAATATCATTTACATACATTACTAGGATAGAGACAAGAACTCCATTCTGCTTGTAAAATAGGCAATAATCATTAAGGGAACTAGAATATCTTTTAAAAATCAAAGCTCCTACAAGTCGGGCATACCACTGTCTGGATGCCTGCTTTAACCCATAGAGAGATTTCTTTGTTAGGCAGACTTGATTTGGTTTAGGTGGAAAAGCATATGCAGGAAATCTCATCTAGACCTTCTCCTGCAATTCCCAATGTAGAAATTCATTATTCACATGTTGTGACACCATCCAACCTTTCTTAACAGGCATAGTCAAAAGATACCTTATAGTAGTCATCTTCACTACTGGTGAAAAGGTTATAATGTAGTCAATGCCTTCTCTTTTTACATCCACCCTGACTACTAACCTACTTTTTAATATTTTCACAGTTCCATCCGACTGATGCAAGGTAAAGCTTTATTCCCTTGAGGCAAATCTACCACATTCCAAGTGTGGTTCAATATTAATGCTTCAATCCCTGCTTCCATAGATATTTTCCAACCTGGTTGTATGCAAGTTTGGGCATAATTGTTAGGTTCAAATATACTAGATAGGGACTGAACAAGCTTTTGATTGGTAGCAGAAAGAGATCCAAAAGAAAATACATTAGGTGTAGCAAATTGAGTGAAGAAAGAATAATAACATTGCACACATAGTCCTTCAAATAGGTAGGTTTTTGAGAAACCATGTCAGACTTCTTGATAGGTGGTGGAGGTGTAGGAATTACATTTTTGGAAAGTGTGTGAATGGGTAAGTAGGAAGGACTGTAAGAGTCTCTTGGGAATAGGGTAATCTCAGCTCCATGATGGGGAGAAAAGTGCTGATTTCTGTGTGAATACATGACTAGATCCAGAGGACCTAGTAGGTGTGGAAGAAGTGTCTGGAAGAGATGAGCATGGTGAGAAAACAAGCTATAGACTATGTGGAGGAAGTTCAATTAACAGGGAGGGGGTACCAGTTGTTGCCTGGTGCAGAAGTATGGTAAGTGGGAGTAGAACAAGAAGGAAAATAGATTGATGTATGTGGTGTAGTGAAATGAAATAATTTTTCATGGAATTTGATGTCCCTAAAAACAAATACCCTTTTTGTATATATATCCATCACTTTGTATCCCTTTTGACCTTGTGCATACCTTAAGAATACACAAGACTTAGCTCTTGGTTCAAATTTACCTCTGTTTTGAAATAGAGTGGAAACATAGCACAAACAACCAAAACTTATTAAAACCTCATATGTAGGTTCTTTCCCAAACAAAACCTCATATGGTGTCTTGCCTTTCAAAACCTTGGAAGGAAACCTGTTTATTAAAAATGTGGCAGTTAAAACAAATTCCCCCCGATATTAAAGAGGAACTTTGGACTAAAATAGTAATCCTTTGGCAATTTCTAAAAGATGTCTATATTTTTTCGTAATTATTTGATTTTGTTGAGGTATAGCTACACAAGAAGTCTTCTGAAGAATTCCCTATTCTTGAAAGAATCTAGATTCTTGTGTTCCCTCCCAATTTCCAAGTGTTGTGTGATTTCACCTTACTTCCTTATTAAACTACCTTTCAACCATACTA